GTTCTGCAGAATGAGACTCCGGTAAAGATTCCGTTCAAATATAATAAGCTGAATAATCTTTACTCACTATAACAACTACGGGTACAGAAAACATGTGTTGCAGATTTTATTATTTCTCTGCAGTAACTGTTTTTATATAAAAACTTTCAATCATATGAAATAAAACTTGGAACGTTCCTCTATCCAAAAAGAAAATAACCTTGGAGATCAGTTAAGAAATGATGAAGATATTCACGCTTTTTTTTCATGCGAACTTTTGGAACACCTTGCCTAGTGAAACCTCTTGTACCGAAGAGCTTGTCCAAGATCTTGGGTTAACAAATGTCACAAGATCGTGGAAAAAATACCAAGAGGTCAAGATCTTGGATTCTTGAATCTTTCTTTGAAGATGTTGCAAGAGTTTAAGTGAAAAATTGTGTGTTTATGTATGACGGTCATAGCCATCAGACATACGACCATATAGAGCATAGATTCTTCCTTAAACAACTATGTTTGAGAAGAAAAAAAGTCGAAGTTATTCTAAATGTGAAAATATTCGCACTTATATTTATACAAGAGTGTAAAACAAAACGATGATTCAAGAATTTCCAGGATCTTGCTTGATACAAGAGGTCAAAAAATTACAAGATGTTCAAAATTTTGACTTCTTCAAATTTCTTGAATTCTTGAATTCTATTTTCTTACCACGATCTTGCGTTTGCATTTGTTGATGTTGAGGAGAGTTACAATATAATTGTGTTAAAATACCATACCCACCCGACAACTAAAAAAATTACTCGCTTCAGCTATCATGGTTGAGAAACGTTAACTTAGCATCGGCTATATTACGATATTGTCAGTGCCTTCTTATCCTATGTGCTAATTATGCTATAGCACAGGGGCACTCAGGGGCCCAATCGAACGGCTTAAGCCTTGCATTTTGTTATTATTAAAAAAAATACAAATTGATGTGTTAAAAACGTTAATGATCAGCACAGGGACCACAAATTTCTTAAAACGGCTCTGAATATTGTAAACGTTGATGGTAGTCAAATGTTTCTTATTAGAAAACTTTTAGATGACTGTTCATTTCTATTCTGGTTTCACATTTTATTTATTTTTAAAAGCACTTATTATAAAGCCTCAATTGATTTTTGATGGTGACAATAAATTTTTAAGAACATATTTCTCTTCTATAATAATGTTTTTTGATAGAAAGACATATACTTCTTCTTCTGTAAAGACATATACTCCTGTTATTAACAGGTAACTATAATTTATCGCGTCAATTTCTCATTGTTCAAATTAATATAAGAATATGAACAAATTGCGTGTTACTTAAGTCAGAAAAATTTCGCTCAAGAAAATATATCTCGTCATATGTATTTTATTAGACTAAAAAGTATGGATCATTAAAATTTGGAAGTTTACTTGGATCAACTATCGAAAGAAGGAAAAAAACTAATAATTTTCATTGAAATGCTGTCATATATTGATCTAACACCAAATTTATTTTGATGTCAGAACACTTTTTCAGAAGCATCTCATATTTGTAAATGCAATAAATAAATAAATATTAAATTGTCAGACCAAAGCAGAACAAAATGAGCAAATTGTATCTTCAAGATTAAATAATGGTTCGCGCACTACTGGACCATTTATCTGTCAACATAGTACGAATGTTCCAAAGCAAGATCATAGTGACAAGGACTTGTAAAGGAGAATGCATTATCCAACATGAGTATTTCCACACTGTAACGCTCTCTATTACATAATGTAAGGATGGCCAAAATCTCAATATTCCTGTCGTGTAGAGTATAGAAAACTACATAGAATTCCACATTTGTTCGCTAAACATCTTGTTCGAGGTATCAAATTTTAGCCTCTCTTACATACACGAATGTTCAATATACCATATGAAAGAACAGCTCGAGTACTGCAAGTGTTGATACTTGAGACGTATCCTTCTACTTTGATAGGGGCAGAGCAACTGTCAGAGAATGGCCGAGAATGGATAAATAACGCCCAGTATTTCACCTTTTCTAAAAGAAAACCCAAACAAGAATTTGTTTTACTATAGATAAAAAATAAAAGTTAACAAACTGATTAGCCTAATGGAAAAAGAATTAGGGCGATATCTATCTTTCCCTTCGAACATGACGTCCATCTTTGCAGACTCTTTTTATAAACGGCCAACGCTGGATCCTCAAGCACAAGAAGTCTTTAGTCAAAGTTTTTCATTTTTCTCTTCACTGTAGTATATCTCGAGCTCGGCAAAATGGCTGCAAGGATATCTGGCTTAGTCACTATTATATATGTTCACATGAATCAGTGATGACATCGAGCGTGAATCTTTCCGAAAATCCGTCATATGCCTATATTCAGACTAGAGAGAGAATATCTCCTTTCACAATTCCACGAAGTGATGTTATTAGCATAAAATTGTTGTGCTATTTTTATTTATACCACAATTTATATTTTTCAAACTCTTGTAGCAGTCTGTAGGTTGTTGAGAGAATTTTCTCCATTTTTATTAACTGGATGGATCCTTATATTTTTAATGGTGATTCTGATAACATATCTTGTCGATTTGCAAACAAATCATGTTTGGTTGACGATATAAGTCAGTTTACCCTCGAGATTCATTATCAAACCCTAGCATACTTTTTAATTATCGTACTTCAGTTATTAATGATCATAATGCAAATGATGCAGTCATTGAACCTGTCATTGAATTGTTTGAAGAATGGTAGCCATGGAAGTGCTGCTTTCCTATCTCGAGTTCATATGTTACTCGTTGTTAAAATATTTAGTGGCCTACAACTCTATAATACAACTTTAATTTTCTTACAGTAAGATTTTCTTTGTCACACTCTTTCTCTTTCTCACTAGAATGATATGTTAAAAAATTTGGCCCTTTTGGAATTTGATCCACTCGTAGCCTGCAAAATTATATATTTAAATTTTACTATGACTAGGCAGCAATGTCAAGTTCCAGAATTCTATAGAAATTTCTAAAATTAACAGATTCAGTAGCTTGGATTCTGGTCAGATTCTGCTTAGATTCTGATAAAGCTCGAATTCTGATTCTACCCGAATCTACCAATTCGTGGAGAGAAGTGGGGACGACTGGGGTGGAGGAGTCGTCTTGAGTTAAAAAAGAAAAATAATATTGACATTTTACTATATCTTCGTTACTGTCTCATTAGTAAGTCTAGAAATTTTGATATAAAGCAAGTGTAAGCAAAACTGGTGGGCTATTCTTCTGCAAAAACGCAATCGTCACTTTTTAATAAAATAATTTTTATTATCTGACCAATTGAATAATTCCAGTACGAGGTCCTGAGTAACAAATTTCTTTGGATACTTGTCATCAAAAAGTTGTCGTTATTGAAATAGTTAGTTGAATAGTGGTATTTTATCAACTAAGTATTAGCGGTGCTAATCAGATAATACTAATTTATGTATTCAAGGCGTTATTTCATGTTTTTGTTCGAAATCGGCGAAAAATGATGCTGACTCTGACCGTGTGAATAATATCGTATATTCGGCTAATGAATTGACGAATGGTTGTGTTTCTTGTTGAGGTACTACTAATGATCCTGTAGATGCAACTGGATGTATCGTATTTAATGCCGAGACTCTTTTTGTGCAATTACAACCCATAATTTTGAATGACTTATTCAAAGAGAATCTCTATTATTATTATTATTTGTTTTCACATTCGGGCTTGTCGACCTAAAAGTCAACTTTTACTTAAGTTCGCAACTTTTTGTGAAAGGCATAGCTCTTCAGCCGAACAACGTACATAGTTGGGAAACATCTTATTTTGAAGCTCAAAGATCTTTCTTTCAAATGGTAATTAAGCAAAGTCTAGCAGCTCACTAGTTTAAGTAACAGAATGTTTTCGGTATACGTTACTTTCATACAAACGGGCCCTATTGATGCGAATTATAGACAAGTGTTTAGGTTAGAACTAGACTTTGCTTTATTACCATTGAAAGAAAAATCTTTAAACTTCAAAATAGGACGTTCCTCCGCTCTGTATACTCCTCAATTCAAGAGCTATGAATTTCACAAAACGTTGCGGACTTACGTTTTTTTACTGGTACGTTTGGACACGTCGATTCAACGTGAAGGAAATTTATTTCCTTCTGAGTTTTTATAATTGAAAAAAAAAAGAGCTGTTATTATTAAAATTATTTATAGCAAATAAACATATAGATGAAACTACAAAAGTTTTATTAGTAATCGAAAATAATATTGAGATTTTTTTTCCATTGTAAATACAACATAACAGGTTATTTGAGTTGCATCCCGTTAACTAATGCACCCTCATTTAGAATCGAGATCAAGCCAAAATTTACATAAAAAGATGAAGACTTTTGCATTTCACACGAATAAATGATTAACACCGAAATGACACAGCTTACAAGAAGATAATGAATTTATAGACAATCGAAGTTTTAGCAACATACGTACAAAAGGTTATGCCGAAAATAGGTTATTCTACATAAGAGATGCGCATCGAATTTAAAATTTCTATTGAAGACAAGTATAACATGAGGATCAGCGTAGTTTATAACCCATGTTCCAGCTGTTTTTCTTAGAACTCAGGGTCACCGGATAGGAATGATTTCCCAGAAGTCTAGTCCCCAGAAGTTATAGTCGCTTCTTTCATCGTTTGCACTTGAAATCTTTACAAAAATTTAAATTTTTAAAATCGTTTTATTTTAAAACCCTTGTTAGCAATTATAAAGAGTTTTCTTCTTCATACAACTGATATCAGGATCCTACGTGATACATGCACCTGCATACATGAGATGATAACGTGATCATGCTAATATCTGTCCTGGTTTAATGAGATAGAGTCGGTATTCATCACTATATCTCGTGATGGGCGTCGACGAAAGTCCATCGCGCTTCCTTCATACTTCAGTTGACAAAACATATGTGTAGAAGTGTTAGTATTCAATACTCGCTAACTGTTTTATGAATTTTGCCTTAATAGAATATTGATATTAACCAGTTGTACTAATCATAGAGCTTAGTATGTTACACGGTATGGTTTCAGAACTACGACTTGCAATATTCTATTATGCAGTATTAGACTCTCTTTACACATTGTGCTAGTGCACTGACGCTGAACGAACGGATAAAAATCTTGTAATTCGCTACATTTTGTGTAAATTGTTGGCTCAATTACCTCGCGTCTATGTGAATAACCACGACTATAGCAAGCTGTTTCCATGGAAAACCATCCCGTTGAAGCAAAAACACTTATAGGATTTCCTGGAGATGGCAGCCATAGTTCACTAAAGGGTCTCAATACCAACGGGAATATGTCCGATTTTTTCATTGGACCAGGAATTGGATCATTATAATGCCAAATATACGTTTGATTTTGTTCATAAAAAAATATATCAATAAATGGAAATCGCCAAGGATATAGACCAGCATTAGGCGACCAATTAAAATAAACTTTGAGATATCGATTATGTAAGTATAAATATTCAATAGAAATATTCTTAAAATCAGAATTCATCGCTGTGACAAAACGATTTTTGTCGGAATATGGCATAAATAAATCAACATCATCATCCCATGGTAAAAAATCATGATATTTATAACTACCTGAAAAAATCAAAGCGCTTTTTACTGATATCATTTCTGTCGACTCCAGTCTTAAGTTTCAATATACCTAATAGTGTTCCACCAATCATCATGTAGGGAATATCATATTTCCGACATAGGTTATCTAATTTAATCAACAAATTCAAATATATCTGATGTTCACACGGTGTTATAACTCTGGGTAATTTCGGTGCTGATTTCCACAGTGTATAAAAATAGGGTATTTTTTGTTTTGCAATAGAATCTCCATCTATTAATCTGGGTTGAACAATATAATATTGAGGAACTTCACGTGGTTCAGATGCGATTCTCTCTGCCGTATATGTACATATTAATTGGGTAGCATTTCGAATGGTGTTGTAGTTTAGATTTGTAGCTGAAATAATAATTTCTGCACGTGTTTCTTTAGTTACATGAGCCAATACATTCGAAATATATCTTGGAGGATCGGATATTGGATAGAATAGACAAATCACAAATAGAATAACTGAACTGAGAACAACATTAAGGTAAATATATCGCCTATTTTTTCCAATTAATAGAATACGTTTAATGCTCGTATGCATTTAAAGACTAAATAAGATTTTATTGATTCTTTATGATTATTTATAAAATAGGTCATTGAATGTGTAATTTTTCTATCAAAGTACATTCTTTTTCAGAGTATCATTGATGTTTATACGAATTATTGATAATAAGAGAAGAGTGGGTAACAGCGGTGAATATTAAAAACGACGAAAGACGAGATTCTTATTTCCTTGTACTCTCTTTACACTTCATCCAAGGATTTTCTTGGTACGCAATGTCCTAACATAGAAACTGATATCGACTTGTGAACTCACTTTTGCTGGGTAAGCCTTTAATAGTGAGTCTAATTAAGGGGAGTGTCCCTAAGCGTTTTTTTTTATCAGCTTGTAGAGGACACTTCGAAGTATACGTTCCAAAGACTTTTTCGTTGTGTGGATTTTTAGTTTTTAATACAACAAATTAAATTTTTTTTCGAGTTTTTTTTGCCCCATTTTTAGAATTTCATTAGAAACTTCAGTTATAGATATGAAGAGTTGATTCTAGTATCGATCGATAAGGACATTAATTTATATAAATTCTATTCTAAAAAACTTTTTCAATTTTGAAAAATAGAAAAACGTTTTCGATAAAAGCTCTGGTAGGAAACTCCAGAATTCGATTCTGAACAACTTTTGTACCCATAGCCTGAAAATGCTTCCTTCGAACGAAATTTGGTTCAAGGTTCTGAACAATTTTGCGCTCTGGGACTCTAAAATAGCCCTGAACATCTTTATTTTTTTCGATTTTCAACACTTTCATTCGATTCACTCTAAAAAAAAATGCGACTTCGGATCAAATTAAGTCGCATTATTTTTGGAGTGTTTCGTAAGTGAAAGTGTCTGTGTATTATGAGTTTCAGATTTTATCTTTACGAACAGGCAAAAATTTTAATAAACATAATAAAGTAACGTAACAGCAGTAATTTTCATTTTATTGAAAAACTTTACAATTAAATTAAAACCAAATATTTCAACGTTTCAAACTTAAATTCATTTTCAAGAATATAAATACAGAAACATGCCACTAGCTGGCTATATTTGCTAGTTATGATGCAATTGTTTACAGAGGATTACAGAGGAAAATTTTACAACAAAAATTCGATTTTCTCATTTTTATCTTATTTTGCTCATCCAAGATAACGTTAGAAGATAAATTAAAACTGCATTAGCCAGTCGATAGAGCTCGTCGAACTGAGTATAGCAACACCTAACGAACACTCAAAAAAGGTTTTATAGTTTCGCTTTTTAAGCATACATTTTCAATGAACACTCAAAAAAGTGTGCCAAATCCATCTTCAGATTGTGCTGAGCCTACTGGTGCCATTGAGCTAGCTGAAAACTGGTGAAAAAATTGGATTACAAATCATAATCAATGGTTGATCAGTGTTACCCCGGCGTCAGTCGAAGAAGTCTGTGAAAAATATGTCTTATGTGCAGTTTTGTAGAGCTTTTCACGGGCTACAAGCTCATATATTTAACATCTACAACCGTCTCATCTTAATACGTCTCAAAAGTTTTCGTTGATTTTCATTTTTTGGTGAAAATCTCAGTAATTTATTGGACGTGAAAATTCGAAAAAATAAAAATCAACGAAAACTTTTGAGAAGTATATCGTTCGACTCAGTTTTCGACGCTGACTCCGAATATGACATTTTAATTGCATAAAAAGTGAATTCTGGTTGAAAAAATAGAGAATTTCGGGCAGAATTTCGGTGTTTTCGCTCCTGATTCAGAAAAACTGTATTTTCTTAGTAATAAAGCAAAATAAAACAAAAAGCGATCCGTACTTTTAAAGCTAGTTTAGTGGCGCTTCTGTTGAAATAAAAAGGTCGGCTACAAAAGAAACTAGGTAGGTTTGCAAAATTTAAAAAGTTTCAAGAGAAGAAAGCCGTTACTAGAATTTGACATACGACGAGTACAGGAAGGGTGATTACACACTGGAATCTTCGAATATAACCCATGTGGCGCAGCTTTGCTTGCTGATCACGAATACGGTCTTAGACTTGAAGAAGGAGTATGATTAGATCAAAAACATGGATCTAAAACTTGATCACTAGTTTTCAATGCAAGGCAATTTTGGGTACCACGCTCCCTGTTGAAAAACTTCCAAATAGTGCGTTTTGTAGCTCCATCTCGTGCGCAATTGCTGACAAATTTCTGTGATTGACACACCTCAATACATTGAGACCCACCATCATCGACTGTTCGTAAAAGATGATGCCCAGTCGATGAAAAATCGCGTTTGTCTTTGTTAAGATGAGACGGTTGTAGATGTTAAATATATGAGCTTGTAGCCCGTGAAAAGCTCTACAAAACTGCACATAAGACATATTTTTCACAGACTTCTTCGACTGACGCCGGGGTAACACTGATCAACCATTGATTATGATTTGTACTGATAGCACTCCACCAGTAAACTGACTCTAATTCGTCCAAAACCTAATGTAAACATGGTTTCCTATATGCCACTCGACGCGCCTCAACCTAGCAGCTCTTCAAGAAGGCATATTTGGTTTCTCGATTCAGATATGATCACCAAGTTTTCGGACCACTTCGGATCATAAAAACTTGTTTCCTCCTTTTTGAAGATTCATTTCTATTGTGTAAGGAAAAACTGTTTAATTTCAATTTTTATCAAACTTGAAAACAAACTGTTTCTTAATTAAACGTTCAGCAAAGCTTTTCTAGTTGATAAACGAAAAAATAAAGAGATCTCTAAAAAGTTTTCCAATCAGAACCCGTTCGGACCAATAGTTTTGGGATCGGAACCAGTTCGGACCATTAAACTTTTTAAAAACTAGGACCAAGTCGGACCAAATGGATTACGGTCCGGTCAGACTTGGTCCTGGATCAGACCATACGGGATCCTGGTAGGCATACACACTCGAGCAGCTTTTCCTCTTAGTTTGCAGTTGGACAGAATCGTAACATGTACTTTTGTCTGAATAGTCATCAACTAGTATGTGTTCGTTGTTTAATGATAACAGAAAGAAGTCGAGCAGTGTCCATATAAGTGCACTATCAACAGTTTATCTGGAAGCGTTTTTCTCCTAAACAAAAGCACGTGACTGGAAAAATGGCGTATCGATTATGCACAATGTGCAAAAGTATGCAATGATGAAGTTGCCATTTTCTTCTCTAGTCTGCCTGCACACCTATGTATAACAAATTTACAAAAAACATGAGAAAACCCTTATGGTTTTCCGAAAGCCTGAAAACCGTTGGAAAACCAATCTGTTCGTCAATCTATGTGATCGTATGCTCACGTCTAACGGACAAAAATACACATATCCGAACTTTTAAGCACTTTCTGATACTTTTTGAGTGAATTATGAATTGTTTAACCTTAGGTGAAAATTCCCATTTTCGTAAAACACGATTTTGATTAGACTTTGACTTTTTCTTCGAAAATAAATGTTGCTACCAGATTCTGCGTATGCCTCTTACTCTTTTAGGATTATTTCAAGTCATCTAGACTCCTTCGAAACTCCATGCCACGTCTAAATCACTAAAAAGCAAGATCTCACTTCAATTGCATTTTGAAGAGGACAGCGACCAAATTCGGAAACGCTCCGGTGACTTTTTATAGGAGTTCCGAAAATGACCGAAAAACGTGAAAATGACTAGTTTTGAAATCGAATTTTCTCCATCAAATGCGACTCTAAACTCAAATCTGAGATGTGCGTGCCGAGAACTACCTGAAAATATGGTTTGCAAGTTTTTGAAAGATTTAAGAAAGTTTACATAGAGGGTTTTTTAAAGGTTAAATTGCAGTTTCGGGATGCGTTTTGTATGGAAACCGGCTATAGGAGAACGTTGCGGTCTCTGAGAAATATTGAAATATCTTCAGTTTGTAGAGAATTCAATTCTCTTCAAAATGAGACCTGATTAAGCCTTTTCTGGCTTAATGTTGCCGAGTTTTATCGAAAATATATGGACAAGGGATAAACGCTTCGAAAATGCAACTTAAATTACAACTTTCCAGTGGTCGATTTTCCTTCTGCTAAAACTCGGCGATATTATGCCAGAAAATTCTTAATCAGGTCTCATTTTGAAGAGAACTGAATTCTCTACAAACTGACGGTATTTTAATATTTCTCTGACTTTAAATGGATTTGTGTGTTTTTCTGAAAAACCGGCATCTTCAGAGATCCATATCTCAGGAATAGAAAATAATAGATTGGGTTTTCAGTGGATTCATATACTTTCACAGGCGTAGAATTTAAAAATAATGGCCGCAACATTCTCTTATAGCCGGTTTCCATACAAAACGCATCCAAAAACTGCTAAAATCCGAAAAAACGGTAATTTAACCTTAAAAAAATCCTCTGTGCAAACTTTCCTAAATCTTTCAAAAACGTGCAAACCACATTTTCAGGTAGTTCTCGGCACGCTGAATCCGATGTACATCTCAGATTTAAGTTTAGAGTCGCATTTGATGTAGCGTTTTTAAAAACATAAAAAGTCGATATTGTTTTTAAAACAGATAGTATTCTTTTTAGAACAATTCACTATTGAATTTATCCACGAAATAAACCTTGTCTCGCTTTCAGGTTTTTTTAGACGTGTAGATATTTTAATATAAAATTGGTCAACAACTTTAAGGATTTACGGAAAAAGTTTCACGAGTAATTCACCTTAATCTCAATAAAACAGATATCCGGAGTTATCTTTATCATAAAGACTTTATGATGATTGCGAATTTAATCACTATTCGTTCTCATAGAACAGAATAAAAAGTTGAACTAAACAGAGATGCGTCTTATTCTAATAATTTTCTGCTTCTTTTACTTTAAAAGTCTTCTAATCTGGTGGCAAGCAACATACAGCCAAAATAAGAGTAATGGTGGTACGTTTCTCGATAAAAAATTATAGAACTCACGAGGGAAGGTCCCCAACTGTCCGATCGCTTTCGAGCCGAAACCTAGTGGACTATAGGTAGTCGACCATGCTGATTCCGAATATCAACATGAGACGTGCTGCTAGGCCTCCAGAGAGTG